CTCAAGCCGAGGATCCCATTAAGTATTACTACGAAGAGTTGTCCAAAATAATTGTTGATGATATTAAGAGAACAGCCAAAGAGTGGGATAATACGGATCCCATTATAACTGTCGACGACTTTAAGGCCTATCAACCGATTATCACTGAAGCAGTTCTCGCGACGTTCACCGTCACCAACAAAGAGGAGAACATTACTCTCCATTCGTTTCCATTGCCCGGTATATGATTTTGACAATTCATTTCTTAAATATCAATCAATTCAAACAATTTTGTTACATCTCTTGCCGACACGACAGGAAGTGGCGATATATTGGGATTCATAATGAATGTGATGCAAAGGTTTCCCGATATGTATCCAAAAGCATCGGATTTTGTGGACAAATCTGCGCTTTTCTATCACCGACTGATAGAGACCTATAAGTATGCGTTCGCCAAACGATCGCATTTAGAGGACAGCGAGACTGAGAAAGTGAAGGATGTGCTCAACAAACTCAGATCCAATGCATTCGCGGACAAAGTCATGCAAACCATCGATGACTCGAAGACATTTCCCAGTGATTCCGATCATTACGATACGACACCTGTAAGTGTTGAATCAAATTATCTTACAATTTGATAGTAAATTCATTTCTATTGACAGGTATTTATGTCTGAAGATCACGGAACAGCTCACGCATCAGTGGTCGACTCGTTTGGCAATGCGGTGGCCGTCACCACAACTGTTAACTCATAGTTAGTTAAAAATAATTTTTTAAAAATGTGTAAAATATTTAATTAAGTTATTTATATATTTTAATGAAGTTTTGGTTCAAAAGTGTTGTCTTCGACGACAGGAATCTTATTGAACAACCAAATGGATGACTTCAATACTCTTGCGACCAATGATTTTGGTATCCGAGCATCCGATTCAAACTTTGTAACACCGGGTCGACGACCCCTCTCATCCATGTGTCCCACAGTATTCACAGACAATAATGGTATTAATTTTGTGATTTATTATCTGTTTAATTAAGTTGTTTGAATTGTTTGCAAGACTTGCTGTTAAATATGTGTTTTTGTCTGTTTATTGACACAATTTTTTTATTTAAAAGGCTTACGACTTGTCATCGGAGGAAGCGGTGGACCAAAGATAA